TTAATTTCAAATAATGCTCATAAAAATTGTGAATTTACGCTCAACTTTTTTTTTTTTTGATTTTTATAAATTAACAACTTATGACTTATGAGAAGCCTCGTGGTTTTAAATTTACAAACTTTTTGATGGAGCAAAGTTTTTGATTGATTTATTGGTATTTATACAAACAAATCCAAAATTTCTCATGCTCACAAAAAATGCTTAAAATATTCTTGAATGTAAATTATAATTAAAACATTGAATTCAACATCTCGCGGCTTACTTTTAGGGAAATCAAAAATAAATAGCAAAACCAAATTGATTATCACACATTTTGGGTTACAATTTTAATAGATTCTAAATAAGTAGTAGAAATTAATAAAAACATTTTTATCGGAAAGTTAAATTGTTATCGAACGCAGTACAATATAGTTATCATTTTAACATGCATTATATAGTACGCGTACTTTACCTTTATGGGCTTATAATTTTATGTAAATCGTTAAATCGTAAATGGCGTAAAATCGATCAAGCTCAGCGCAAGGTCTCGGAACTAGGAAGTCTTATGGCGATGACGCAGCATTCGAACATTTCGAACGTAAGGGGGCACTAATATAAATTTAATAATAAGTAAATATGGAAACTAGCGTCATCGGAAACGATACTATTATATTATATTACATTGCGTGCGTCTACAATCGCTTATATTTCTTTTTAATGACGTGCTCAATGTACAAGTATAGCTGAGTACCTACCTATGCAGTAAGTATATATTATCTTATTAAGCGGCTTTCCAAGGGGACGTGCCAAACATGGATCGATATGGTAGTAGCAAGTAGATTATACATTAGGAAATTCCATTTAGATAACGCATAGCAACTATACACCTGTAGATACAACTACGACTTACGATGTTGATAGATATAGGTACTTTAGTACTTACTTAGGTATAATTATTATTTAATACCAATTTGTTGACGGTTTTAATTTTTAATAATATATGCTAAATAAGTAGGTACTTACGGCACAAATTAGTAGGTATAAGTACTAAGTAGGTACCTATACTCATATAATTTAACTAAATCAAATAATATGTAAATATAATTGGTGTTTTCATACTAATGTACTACTAACATTTTAGATTTTGAGAGAATTGTTTTGAAAGCATTGGTTTTAAAATCAAGTATTTTATTTTTTGATCATGTCTGTTATTAGTGACTCATTACCTTTTTAGTTTAGAACTGCAGTAAACATACTTTAATCTTAAATGTTGAGTGTGATTTCTGCAAGGTAACAAGTCGAATTTAATTATCAATTATTAGTTATTATACTTATTAGTATACAATATACATCATGCGTACATGGCAGTGTCGCAGTAGCGTATTTTATTGTTTTTTTATTTATTTATTTTTTTTGGTTAAGGGAGGATGATAATTTATCATACAGCCAAGACTTAACTATGATCCCTTAGTTCTTATATAGGCTTAGTATGCTGATTTCGTGGGTATTTGAAGATTTAGACTTACACAGCAAAAAAGTAAAAAAAAAAGATTTTATGTATTTAAGTTTTTAAAAAATTTTAAATTGCTATTTTGTTTATATAATCATTTTAATAATTTAATACAGTTTAAAAAAAATATAATAAAACTAAGAGGAAATGTACTAAGTTAAGGCAAATTATTTGTTGATTTTGTAAGGATAATAGTTAGGTACTTAGTTTCACGAAACAATTTTTTTTTTAATCAATCTTGATTGAAACGAGGATTTTTTATGACAACCTGTGAATATTTAATTATTAATGGAGCTTTCGATAGAGATTAAAATTATTAATAATTTTATCTATTTAAAATAAAATTTATAATTTTTAATGTTAATGAAAAAACAAATAATCTTAATTCATAATAACGGAAATAATGTATCTACTTTCTATATATTTTTTATAAGTGTTTGAAGTTACCTCCATTATCTATTTAATAAATGGAGTTAAAATTTTTTGACCAAGACATTCTTAACATTTTCTAACATTTATGGTGTCAACCAGTAATGTAACTAGGATTTTAGGGGGTCGTGGAAATAAATTTCCTGGAGCTTCCAAGAATTTAAAATAAATAAAAAATAACTCTTCAGTTTTAAATTAAAAAATAAACGTTTAATTATAATGGCAAGTGAATTAATTAGCTCAAAACATAAGTATAAAAAACGTGTCAAGGAATATAAATATATTTATAAAAAAAATACTATAATAATAATTATTAAATCATTTAATAATAAATTAAAGGGAAAAAATTAAATCTAATACACAAAAATGTAATGACGGAAAGTAAAATGACCATTCTTTTAGTTTTCCATTCTGATTTCAAAGTGTTTGTGAAATAGTTATTTGAAAATGACCGTCCACTTGAATTTTATTTAAAATTATAAATCGTTTTATATTATTTTTGTTTAATTTAATATTTTTTAAAAGACCAATATCTGTTATTCGTTAAACATTAAGCCGATTTAATGGTTTCCAAAATTTCATTAATAGAACCACTAGTACCTTGATTTTGATTAGTTGCGATTTAAACGTGTTTGATAGTATTTGACTCTTTGACGTTGATTTTCTCGAAATCTTTGTTTATTACTTTTTTAGATTATTAGCTAATTTATTTATTTGAAAAAAAATTATTATTTTTAATTTTCTTTTCAACATTTTTGCTTTTCAACACTACTCAAATAGTGTTCAATTATGATGTTTAAAAAAATAAAAATAAAATTTGAATTAAATAAGAATAAATATAGGAAAACGTAATAATATGCTATTTTGGAAATTATCATTAAAGTAATAATTTTGATTACTCTAATTACATACTTTAAGTATTCAGGTACTTAATTATTTATTTTAAGGATTAATATTAAGAAAAAAATATTTATTTTATTAGTTTTAGAAGGTTAAACTATAAGTTCAATCTAATTTTCATCAATGATCCACATAGAAAATTGTATACATTTACAATAATATGATATATTAGTACATAATCTACATGTCAGTAACTATCAGTTTTCAATATAGGCACTATTTTTTAATATTAAACCATTTAAATTTGATAAAAAGAAAAAAAATGCAAACAGGTACTTTTTTAATTCTGTGATCAAGGAAATATAAGATATTAAATAACAGTTCACTGTACCTATTATTGCAATATGCAATAATATTTGCATATTGGCTAATATATATTGAACTTAAAACTAAAGCATGTCAGTTGTTACTGAAAGAGGCTACTAATCATTTTTTGAAATTAATTAACAAACCATCAACTAGTATACTTAAATTGTATGATACAATATTATAATTCACTCAGAATTGACACCTTTGAAGTAAATCTATAGTTCAAAAACAATAAATCACCTATAGAACTTAATATAATACACAAAAGTTACAATATAAAAACATGCATTGTTCTTTTTATCTCTTCTTAGATAAATGCGTCATACAAATAAAATGTTGCACATAATTATGAAGATAAAAGTTCATTTCTTCCCCCCAATAGTATTAGGTATATGTATTTTAAATTATAAAATGTGTTGTTAATTTTAAGCACTGAGGAACATATTATTATGGATGCGGCATGCAATAACAAAAACAAGATATTATTACAAAAGATACATTTTACTATATTATATAATACATTCACACATTAGATTTCAAAAGTCGTGTTTACATGGTATTAATTTATTTTATAACAATATTTTTTTTTTTTTTTAAGCGTTGGCGTTTATCTTACGTATAAAAAAAAGTAGGATACTCTTCTACTTATAAATAATGTTATACTGTTGATTTATACACAGTTTTAAAAACAACAATTGTACAAATCATTTAAGTCAAACATTAAAAAATACTTTTATTTTATATGTATTCTAATATCGATTGTTGTATATCACGGGTCTTGTGGAGGTCTAGATTTTAAACGTGGATTCTACCAATTATTTTGATATTTAAGAAAATAATATTGTTATGTCATGACATCTTTTGGAATAACAAAATGTTAAAAAACATATCTTTAGTTTTAAAAAGTACTTCATATTTCTGCAAAATTTTATTTAACCAATAGTTAAATAAAACAAATAGGATTGATTAAAGTTGTTTTTCTTTTGAGATGTTCGTATGTCAAATATAGCAGTTACAGGTTTTGTTGTTACTATGATAAATATTGTGAAATTTAATGTGTATTGTGTTAGACCAAATTACACAAGAGACATTGTTGTATTAGTTACACAATATTAATAAAACCACCAACTAAATAATAAAGTCTAAAAAATACAATATTAAAATTAATCTCTTAATCAACTATGTGAACTTATATAATTCATAATATTTGTTTAATTTTTAAGTAGGTATTTGCACCAAAACACGTATACGGTATACACATATATTCTTAATACATATTATATGTTAATAAAATATAACATAAAATTATCCAACCGATTAAAAAAAAATGTGCAATGATTCATTTTAGCCGTGTCTTTATAAATACCCTAATAACAAATACATTAGAAGTATATAGATCAATAGTGAACAAATTTATTATTTATAAATAAATTAATTGGTAGGCGTATTATTCTTTTTCGTTTTATAATTCTAAACAAAAAATTTATAGTACCAAAATAGATAAATTAAAAAAAAAAAAAATGAATTAATCATGAAAGGTTTATTTCATATTATGAGCTCATTTTTTCTTTTTGTTATCACATATACAAGACATAAGTATTAAAAACAATAATAAACATTAAATTTAATTTACTATCTACATGTATATAGCAGTACCACAATATTTAAATTTGACGAATAACATTCTCAGTCATTTTAGCTGCCAACAAGGGATAAAAACTAGAATTAATTAAAGAAACAAAACACTTTAAAGAGGATTAATTTTATAAATAATACAATGAACGAGAATAAGCTATAAATTAGATTATTAGATATTATATTGTTATTACTTTTTTTCTTTAGTCATAGAAATTTATTAAAAATTATAGTTTAGTTAAAATTTGGAGAAAGCAAAAAATAATATGTATAAATATATACTGATGTATATGTATTTATGTATACAGGGATATATTAGAGTCTACCGTGTATAAGTGACTGTAGGATATAAGAACGATGTCACATATTGTTATCTTAATAACTAAGAACATGTAAAGAGATACTATTGACCCCAAAACAGAACTTAAATCAATGGTTTAAATTATTTTGTCCAACAAAGACAAATGTTCGATAGCAATTATAATGTATGTTTATTAAATATTGTTTTAAGTTTTGAAAATGCCTAATAGTTGTTTGGTTTCATGATTCACCATTGCCACTATCAGTAGCATCATCCTGATACTCTTCTTCAGAGTTTGCATCAGACTCAACATCTAAGTCGTAGTCTTCTACATAAAAATCACTGTCCATTGCAGCAGCAGCAGCTGAAGAACGAGCAACTTGGCTCACTTTACAATAATCTTCTAGTGTAAGTGGAACCACAACTCCATCTCTATCAGCCTCTAATCGGCCGCTTACAACTTGTTTTCTGAAATAATCAAATAAAATTAACATAGTAATTAATATTTGTATAATAATATATTACAAGTAAAAAATAACTTACTTAATAATATTTTCATATTCTTTATCTTTTCCTTTTGAATCTTTCCACCGTCTGTACATGATGGAAGCATCTACATTAGCAGGACTGAATGTATTTGGTTCATTTAGTAAAGAAATTACAGATAGTAATACTGTCCTATAGATAAAAAGCAAAATAATGTAAATAGTTATGTTGAATCATTTAAATACACATTTATTGGCTATATTTTTAGGTTAATGTAATTTTATCGTATACTAATTTAACATTATATTTACATAATTTAATAGGAACTTAGATTGAATATAATGTATTTTTTTAAACAAATAACTAGTGAAAGCGTGACAAAAAATAAATTTTATATTGTAATTGAAAGTGTTAGTTACCTGACACTTTGGGTAGGATTCCATCTTTCGCATGGTAACTCTCCAGATTGAGGATCATCTATTGGTGGGTGAAGAATTGAAATACATAAATCACCGTTCTGAAAAGCGTATCATACATAATGAAATCAAATATTTTATTATCTAAAATGTATTACCTTGACCTAGATAATATATAGAATATGAATAAAAAGTAACAGATCTCTTTATAATCACATTATTATTTTTTTTTTTTGAAGGGAGTAATAGAAGTTGTAGGGTATGTATTGAAACAATAATATGTCTATTGAACTATAGGTGATTTTTTAAACTATAGACATAAAGTAACAACAGTGATTAATTTTCTAGTTAATGATTTGTTAGAAAACATTTTTTTTTTTTTTGAGAAAGTGTAAAATTTTACACTTTCCTAATTGATTTCTTTATACCTACGTAATTTAAATCATTATTAGTATACTCTTAATTTAATAAAACAAATATTTATCAGATAATTCAAATGTTATATCATTTAAGCCTTTAAATTAAATGTATTCATCAATATCACCTATTTAGTTTTTGTTGTTCATAAATTACTTGTTATTAGAATACATAAATATCATTTAATATTGGTCAATAGATAAGAAAAATAAAATATATTAAAATAATGAACTCAATATGTTGGAATACACATATTAATATAAATATAAATTAATAATGTACTAAATTATTTTAGTAAGTTTTAACCTTTTATTTCATACAATATTTCAATATAATCGATATTGGTCAATAGATAACAAAAATAAAATTATGTTAAAGTGGTCAACACACACACAATTATGTTGGAATACCCATATTAATATTAATATAAACTAATAATATATTAAGTTATTTTATTAAATTTTAACCTTCTATAATAATAATAATAATAATCATAACCTATAGAATAATACACAGTATTATTATACATAGTACTCAATGTGACCTTCTTTACTAACGAATAAATACTGAACTCACTTGGGGCCATAAACAAAATCCTACTTATCATTTTTATATGATTACCTTGATGTACAACTAAACAGGTATTTTCATAACACATAGTGGTATCTCAAGTAGTAATAGGCTCAATAGAACCAATTTGTTCTTTAAAAGGACAAGAACTTGGCAGTGACCTCCTAGGTTAGTATGACTTTCCTTATATTTGTCCCTGATAGACCATTAAAGCAACAAAATATTTTTATAGCATTTTATATTATATTTTAGCAATTTTATTATTTAACATTTAGATTAAAAATTAATATTTATAATTTTAAACAACAATTAATGTTACATATAAATTATTATTGCTACCACATATTATATTACTATAACTCTATAAGAATTGGAAAATTTTAATAGTTATATATTTTAATTTTTTTAAATATTAAAGAATTATTTGAAGAATTTCAAGTTAAATTCTATAAAATTATATGTTTTCAATTTGTTTATATTCAAATACTTTTTAAAGATTATGTATTACTTTATCATTTTTTCAGCAAATTTTAGATTATAGCACAAGTTTACACAATTTATAATTTGTAATAATCATAATACTTTAGTAATTAACTATATAATGTTAATATTTTAATGTGGTTGTTGTATCAAGTAATTAATCTGATACTTTAGGAAAACATATAAATTATTTCCTGTCTGGTAAACATGTAAACGAATAAAAAAAATAAATAATTTTTATAAATTATATTTTTTATTTTTAAATCCAATTTTTTAAAATTTATACCTAGATAAGTTTTTATTTTTTAAAAAATATAAATTTTTTGCACATTATGATTTTTAATTAATTAATGATTCATAGTAAGTAATAACTTTCTAAAACAGAAATAAAAAATTAAATAATAATTTTAACCCAATATATTAGTATTGTTGATAACATTATTCTATAATCATTAATTACAACACAAAATACAGAATCTAAATTAAAATAATCCATTGTGATATTAATCTTGATAATCATAATATTCATAATAATAGGTTATAGTATTTTTTTATGAATTCAACTAAAAGCTAACATTGTATAGTTTAACAAATTTTATAATATGAAATGATATGATTGATACTATAAAAAGCTAGATTATTAAAATTATTTTTTAGCATATAATCTACTAGTAGAGTTAATAAAAAATATACTTATCAACATTTTAATTATGTAATTCAAAAAAATTTAAATGTATTTATAAAAAAAATTCAGTCGTAATAATTTATATTGCAAAATAATAAAATACTTAATATGAATTTAGTTTTTCAAAAATAAAATAAGATACACACCTAGATTTATTTGTATAAAATTGAAAACTATAACTATTAAGTATTGAAGTTGATAAATTAAAATTATTATTTAAATATTTTTAACGCTATGTATGTAACTCAAAATGAAACATAAGCGATTTGTCTATTTTTTGTTTCCGTCTATTATACATGTAACATAAAACATTTACATGTTTGCATAATCAATACAGTTTTGAACTAGTTAATAATTAGATCAAATTGACCTTTTATAAAATTATAATAAGTACCTATTGAAAATATTATACATGATTTGTTTTAAATAGCGCAGTTACCTACTAATCATATAACTAATTTTAATGGTTGCTTATTTTAAAATTAAAAATATTAAGTTAAAATATAAGTAACATACCTCATACACATTAGGATGCCATACTTTCGTCAGAAATCTTATAGTTGGTGGTGAATATGGATAATCAGCTGGAAACTTCATATGAGCCTATAAAATAATATGTTAAATTGATTATTAATATTCAAAATAAAATACATAAATTATGAGAATATTTATTAAAAAGGTAGGATCTACATACTTAATAAAATTATGAATTTGAGTAAGTAAATTCAAAAACCAAATTCTAGGCGTTCTTAGTATATACATTTTGTATATTAAAAATATCTGAACGGGAAAAAAGAGGCATTCTATACCCATAAGTTTGCATGAAATTCTGATATTTTTCATCTATATTAAGTTTTTTTCTAAGTATTACAATTCTTATCTCTTTTATATAATTTATATATGTACAAATCACTATCTCTAACAATTCACTGAGAAGATTCAAATAAACCTAACACTCAAATTGAGTGACTTATTTATAATGTATTAATACTAATATATATATATAAACTTATAAAATTTAAAGAAATAAAAAACATACATAAATAAGAGTAAATGTTGAAGATTCCCCTACTTGTGCCTGTTAAGTGAAAAATAATTAAAAATACAATCTTATTACATTTACTCATAGTACTTTTTCTATAGATTAAAAATAAAATAATATATAATTTGATATTAAATCCTTTTAATTTAACTCATATCTTTCAAATTATATCCCTAAAGAACCAACACTTAGATTAAAAAAATAGAAATTGAAATTATAACTTGTTTATCGAAAAAAATGAATATTGTGTTTCCTAATCTATAGATAATAATATATTCTAAACTCATACGTAAAACATAAACAATGAGTAACTGTCCCTATTAAGCAACCCACATTACAAATACATTTTGGTATTATAATAACTAATTGCACATATGTATCTATAGATTGTTTGTCATATCTACAATAATAATAATAAACAAAAAAAAAAATTGGTAAATAAGATAATTAATTAAGAAATAAATAAAACATTTTTTACTTAACCTAAAATATTTAGAATTACTTAAGTAAAATGTCTGGCTCTTAATTTAAATTTAACACCTACCTACTTATACTAATTTTAAGATGATACATAATATGATAATTTACGTATAGGTAATGCAGATATATTTTATAAGATTATAATAACATTTTAAATTGAAGGTATACCTATTAAGTCATTGATATTCAAGACATACAACAGGTATAATTATGAATTTGTGTTTATCCTCTAAGAAATATCATAACTACTTAGGCACACGATAGTGATTGAAATGTTTCAGTTCTAATACTGATTTCATATTTTTATTCAATCAAGAAATGTATAATAAAAAACATGCTATACTTCAAAAAATATATTGTGGAAGGTAAGTAAGCTAAGGTAAGGTATGTTTGCAATCTTGGAAATGTAAATTATAAATTGTAATTTATTTTAATTGGGAGAATTACATTGAAAACAATATGATATTGGTGACCTATATAACTGCAATTAATAATAATACAAGGTATGTTTAAAACAAACTGATCAGAGAGTATAATCAAAAACAAAAAAGATAGTATATGTAAACAAGGCACCTTGAAATATCCTCCTTGGTAAAGGGTTTCCGGTGGTCCGAATATTGCCACTTCCCACTCTCGTAGGTTATCCTCAATCAACTTGACCCTGAATCCCTCGACGGGTTCATCCTGAAGACTTTTGTACTCGTGTGCTAGGGCTCTGTGGGCACTCGACGACAGTATCTGATTGATAGCCATAAATAATGTGTTGTCGTATAGATCAGCGCGTTCGAGTAAGCGTAATATCGTTACGATATGGATTTTGGGGGAAAAAAAAAAAAAAAAAATGGAAAAATCGTCTCACAAAAGGCGCATAATTACGACGTTGTGTTCTTCTTCAAATGACGGTAGCGAGCACACTGCGCATTATTTTCTTTATTGTGACGACCGTTGTTTTCAAGAAAACAAAACAACTAGCATAGACATATACCACACACGGAATGACGACGATGCACCGCACTGATATAATGTAATATGATTATTGCACAGCCGTGTGCGCGCGCGTACGATGGTCTGTTCGTCGCGGTCGGTGTCGGATGTGATATTATTTTTTTTCGTAATCGTACGACAGCATACGACGACGACGCGGTTGCGGTGCGAAAGTCGTGTGCGTAATAATAAGACGTTGTAATAAGAACAACGACGGTGATAATGCGATTCTTATGAAATAATATAAATATATTATATTTTTAATTACTATTATTGCACGTATATAACAACAACAACAACAATATGTACGAATTGCGAGCTCGACGGTGTCCCCGACTCGTCGTACGGCAGCGGGCAGGCTGTGCTGGCGCGCCGAAGTGGTGGTGAACGGGGAAAGAGTGCGGCGGTGGCGCGTAAAAAAATAAAATAGCAAAAACGAACGAACGGAAAAAAAAAAAAAAAACGGAACAATAACAAAGATAACGGGACGACGACTTGAAGACTGAGGAAGGAAACGCGGCGCAGATCGTCGACGACGGCGGCGGTTGCTGCTGCTAAGTAATCGCGCGCGTCGTGCGTGTAGCGTGTGACGGGTCGCGACGGTTGTCGGTCGGGGACGGCGGCGAGAGAGCGGCGAAAACAAGGGAAAAACGTAAATAAAAAAAACGTTTCGCCCGACGGAACGATACGATACTATAGTCTATAATAATAATATTACATACGTACTATCTATGTATTGTGAATAC